ATAAAAACTGAAAGGTAAAGTTAAGAGACAGTATTCGGTTCAACCCAGGAAACATTAACACTGACGAATGATACGCTAACAGCTAACACTTTTGCTTTGAATGTATGAATGCTACCAGTTTTTGTAAGATCACAGTTCATACGGTTTCTCTCATACTGCTACTACTAGTGCTCAACACACCTTTACAGTAAGAAAAGCGTTTTAATTCAAGGTCTACATTAAACCATGTAATAAGTAAATATGACCGTACCCAATTCTGTTCATTTTTACAATAAAGCTCTTGTAATTTGAACCATTAGTCTGCACACTGCACCCAATGAAATATGAGGCTTTTTCTTTTACTTGAAAGGCAAATCTCAAGCTGAGAGAAAACTCAATACCTCCAACATAACAGAAAGATGAGCAAGCACTATAATAAGAACAGCGATGGCTTTGTGCACTCAGCAGATGAAGACATTTGATCTAGTTTATGCAACAGTAGACGCAGCATAAAATACTATTAGGCAGCGATCAAAAATACTGGTGAGAATACATTCAGACTGAGTTTAAGAATGAGTTTGAAGCATTGCATATCAGCATATTATTTTTCCTGTTTGAAAAACATTAAAGTTAAGTACCATTTAGCTGAGAAAAAGTAAACCATGTAAAGTTGTCAGAATACTCAGTTGTATTTTCACTCAATACTGTACGAATGGACGGGAGAGATGATGCACACTGCACACATGAGTAAGAAGGCTTGTGCTCAGGCTTTTCACATTTAACAGAGACCTGGAATGCCCAGACAGACAGAAGTACAATGTGTATGTAATAAATCCAACAACAAAAAGAGACTACAAGAAAAATGCCAAGAAAAAAAGCCAGCACAAGATTACAAACTTGCCAAAACTGTAAAACCTATTGTTATTCTGATAATTACAAATTCCTCTATACATCCAGAAAACAGACTCATATCAGACAGAATTCCACCCAAAAAGTAAACGCGTGCGAATACGGAAATGCGCCTCACAGAAAAAATAAACAGTTTATCAACAACAGCAGCAAAATTATTATTATTTTATAAGAAACACTGATCCTTATGTGGCAAACAGGCCCATGTACACAAATCATGGGAAATAAATGAATGCCTAACGTGCAGTGTGGTAATACAAATAATGGACAGATGTTCATAAGCTCGTACCAAATGCTTAGTCACAGCTGCAGAATTAAAGCTTAAAGTTCCCTTCGCATCGAAGACCCCTGTGTTAGAGAGCAGCAATTATTTAAGTTCCTCGAATCACAAATCATATAATGGTCATCACACTAATATTGGAAGCCCTGATGCACAATACCTGCCTGTATAAGGAACACTGTCACTCATAGACACTGTTTGTACATTAGCTCTTTACTTCTGCTGAAAGATTTAATAACAAAAGTGTGAAACTGCGTTCAAAGTCCCTCAGGAAAATGTGTGTGCTCTTTATAAGGGGACTAATATAATGTCTCGTCCACTGTATTATTAATTGTTATAATTCAAATTAAAGCTTTAAGCAGCGATGAATAAATGCTCTGTAAACACTATTAGATACAACTCCTGCATCGGCTGAAGCTGGCTGAAAATCTTTTTGTGCAACAACACGACTGAAAGCAGACTCTGAAAAAGAGAGTGCAAAGGATAAAGGTGTTAAAGGTTGCCTGTACCTTTGTTGGAGCACTAATTCAACAATCTAGCAACAGCTGAATCCTTGACCAGCTCAGAGCAGCTGCACCCTATCCACTATTATCCTCCTGGGGATACTGTCCTCAGTATCCTGTACCTACAGTTGTTCCATTAACAATATCTGACCGACTCTCAAAACTGCCACAGGCGAGTTTCAGCCAGAGAGATTAAGACAAGGTGGATTCACACATGAACAATCAGCAGCAAGACCCGCGAGATGTTTTGCGGTTGCCATGGAGATCGATAGTACTACCCAGTAGTGCGTGGTCAATCTGGTCCTCAGCAGCCAGCACCACTCTGACAGCTGCCTCGAACGCAGCTGTGACATTAGTGTCATCCTTAGCACTCGTCTCAAAGTACGGGCAGCAGCCGCTCTCCTCACACCAGGCCCGAGCTTCGTCCCCCCCCACCTCCCTCTGATCCATGTCCACCTTATTGCCGAGCACCACAAAAGGGAAGCGCTCAGGGTCTTTCACATCTGAGTAGTACATGAACTCTTTCTTCCAGCCGCCGAGGTTCTGGAAGCTCTGCAGGTCGTTCACAGCGAATGTGAGCAGGCAGCAGTCTGCGCCTCGGTAGAAGGGGGTGCGGAGGGACTTGAATCGCTCCTGGCCTGCTGTGTCCCAGATCTGAAGAGTGACCAAGCGCCCGTCAACCTCCAAGTCCCGGTTCAGGAACTCCACGCCGATGGTGTGAAAGGACTGGGAGTCGAAGCGGTCGGTGACATAACGGTTCATGAGGGAGGACTTGCCCACCCCACCGTCTCCCAGCAGGATCACCTTCAGGAGTAGGCTCTTACCGCTGATCATGTTTCCTCCCACCCAGCAAGGCCTCCACACCAGGTGGCCGACCAGGGTTGATTTAACCTAGAAAGAGGAAGTAACATAACATTGATACTTACTACACAATTAAAGAGAAATGTAAATCACTATAGGAACTGAAACCTAGTATATTTTTAGAAAACAGCAGAACACAAGTCTGTGGACTTTACTTCACATATGATCCAGTGTAGATAACTAGGGAAAAAATGCTGTTCTTGCAACATTTGTATGAAAAAAAGAGATGTGTAATGGTTTACTAGTTTCAGGGACACAGTGACAGGGGTGAAGGACCGAGATGTCTTCCAAAGGTCTCTGTTTAAAGCTCAGGGAGGACTACAGCCTTATGGTTTACTCCATGGCTCATGATAACCTACACAAGCCATAGCGTAAAGACCTAAAGATTAACGTGCAATAATTAAGATAGTAGTTTTAATGACGTAAATAATAATTCCTACGCCACAACAACAGGGGCGAGTCAGGATCATGAGATGACTCTAGGGACAGCCTCTGCACCTGCGCAGAGCCCCAACATGTACCAGCTTGTTGTCAGATGTTTACTGCTGGCTACCCTGCATCTCCAAGGGTCTCTGCGAAACTCTGGATGAAGTGCTAGAGCAGAAGTTAACTAGGAACCAAAAGAGATAACAGGTTTCTAAAACCTCCAATGCAATGCAACAGGCAAAACACACTGCTAAATCGTGTCGCGGCTTAGAAAAGCCTGACAGCCAACTAACAAGCTAGCCGGCTACTCTGGAGGCTTGTTGACATGCAGGCTAACCGCTAGCATCAGTGCAAGTGCTAATCAAAACTACTTTAAAAGCAACAAAAGAACAAATGTTGCACTGAGATGATTTACCTCTGATTGTATGCGTCTTATTTCAATATAAAAATCCTGTATTTTGACTCACCCTGTCACTATCGCTGATATCGCGCTGTCTGCCCTCCTCCCCTACATCTGACTAACTGTCGTGACATGCGCGCCCCCATTGTGAAGCTGCACGTGCACACCGCCCAGACAGAGCGAGGTCCTAAAGCCCGTTCCGTATCGCTGTGAGATTACATAGATAGATATTTACTTTATGTATCCCAAATTGGGAAATAGTTTTGTCACTAAAAATTAAATTAAATACAAATAAAAAAAGAAATATTAAAAGCAAATATATTTGTTGAATTATTATAGATTAGTGTGAGATGTACACTGTAGCCTGTGAGGTGTATGCATGTGTCTTTATAAATTCATCGCACACATGTTTTTAAGTACATTTTTAATTGGAAATAGGACTACTCACTTGAGTTTTTGTTTGCTATGGTACTTTTGCTTCACAACAGTTCAGGAAAATATAGTACCAGTGGTACCAGTGGTTTGAAATAACTAAATACTTTCACTCAAGTGCTGTACGATTTTGAGGGATTTGTTGAATTGAATATCTCGTTTTTTTTGCTGTAGGCCTATATTGTGTACTTTTACGCCATTACATTTATTTAATACTTTTAGTTAGGCCTACTTTACAGATTTAGATTAATGATGTGAAATATAAACAACACTAAAATAAGACTTTGGTTACACCTAGTAAATTCACAAGCTACCCTGCCCTATACAAAGTCATAAACTAGCTGCACCTTTACCAGCTTTGATAACTTTAATGCATCAATAGACCAATCTACACAATGAGTACTTGGTACTTTTACATACAACTACATTTAGCTGACAATACTTTTGTACTTTTACTTAAGTAACATTTTGAATGCAGGATTTTTAGTAGCAGGAGTACTTTTTCCACCTCCACTTTTAACTCTGTTACATTTATTTGACAGATGTTTGCTTATTAGTCACTTTGCAGATTAATATATGCAACAAACACCTTGATTGATTATATTAAACTGCCCAACATAATGTAGCATCAATTAGATCTTTATTTTATTTTTAATTGAATGATTAAAAAATATTCAGTTTTACATTATAGGACATTTTCATCATACTTCTTTCAATATACGTTTATTAATATTATCCAGTGACAAGTTCAATTGCTTTTTAAAGACATGCTATACTATGAAAACATTTTAATGACTTATTTATGATTTTTTTCGACTTTTTCATGACATTTTCTTGGTCATACCATGCTATTCCATTTTGTAATGATATTTCTAATGACGCACTTCACTAATGCTTTTTACAATGATATTGTTTTATTAAAATGTGTCACATGTGTAATACAAATGTATATGACACTCAATTCCAAAGCTATTTTGACACGAGACTAATTTATTTTTTGTTTCTGTATTAAGTGGCCTATCTTGTCTTTACGTTACTTTTATTTTTATGTAAACACCTTAAAGGTTCCTCATTGTGCTCTGGTGTTTTTGTAATATTTTGCCACCAAATAAATGTAACTTTGAATTAGTCAGAACTGAACGTTGTCATCATACTCTCCGGAGCTGTAGGAGGCGGAGTGCAGACGTGAGTGGTTTACGAACCACAGAAGAAGAAAAGAAGCAGCGTAGAAGAAGACTGGGGCTGTTTTTATTATTCCATCTGTGTACCGTTGGCTGTGTGTTAACAGACTGCACTCTGTAATCACCGCTCTTTATAACCAACTTATTCAAAGAGTAGCTGTATGTGTTCCGTTTGAAGAATCAACTCAAACGCGCCTTGATGCGTTCGCTGCAGTGTTAAAGGTAGGAAACTGGAAATATTGGGATATTGGTGCATGTTTGGGAAACATTGACACGTATGATGGAAATGTTGGAGTAAACTGCTTATGTTTGTTCAACAAAGTTTGCATCCCTTTAACTTTAATCTGGGCTATAAGAACCAACATATACTCTATTTTTATTTGCAAGATTTAGAAAACACGACTTGTTTGAATAAGAAAGTTCATTGATTTGTGAGTATTAATGATAACCTACTTCCGACTAATGCAAAAGTCTCTAAAATGTGTTTTCTGTTCTTCTCGACTTTTTTTTTTAGATGGCAGGTAGGGGCAGGATGGTGCCCTGTGCTTGTCTGGGGCTGTTTGGTGTCCTGTGTTGGGTCTGGGTCTCCTTTGCATCCTTTCCAGATGATCAACTCCCCCTGGAGGCTTTGGATGCAGTGGACCGAGCAGCCTTTCAACCCCAGAGTGCTCTGTCAGAGATGGAGTTCTCCTCTATTTCTTCATACAGAGGACCTGGCAACAGAGACCGCCGCATCAACAAGGAGCTGCCCATTCTCCTCTGGTGGAGTGGAGGACTGTTCCCACATTTCCCTGGTGACTCTGAACGCATCGACTGTGCCACATCCTCCTGCCTGGTCACAAGCAACCGCAAGGTACCAGATATATTTAACCTCATTAATGAGCCTTTGACTGAAACTCCTGGCTTAGACATACAGACGATGCATGCTCACATTAATAACATTTACCATCTGAAGTTGCTCTGCCAGTAATCTTGAGTTTGATCTTGAAAGGTCCAGATGTACAAGCGGACTGCATCCATCATCTTTTATGGGACAGACTTTCGGGCATATGAGGCGCCACTCCCTCGTCTCCGCCACCAGACCTGGGCACTGTTCCACGAAGAGTCCCCCATGAATAACTACTTCCTCTCCCATGGACCGGGAATCAGGCTGTTCAACTACACTGCCACGTTTAGCAGGGAGTCGGATTATCCTCTGACCCTGCAGTGGCTGCCCTCTCTGGATTACCTGCTGCAGCCTGTGGCCGTGCCCCTGGGGGAGAAGAACCGTCTGAGGAGGGGGGGGCTGGCTCCTGTGCTCTACATGCAGTCCCACTGCGACGTACCCTCGGACAGAAACAGATATGTCCAGGAGCTCATGAAGTATATCCAGGTACAGCACAGATACAGAGATGTTTTTCACAAAGATAAGATAAGCTTTTGTTGATACCCTCAGGGGAAAATCAGGTGTTGAAGCAGCACAAGAGGGGTTCAGTCAAATAAAATAAAATAACGACAAAAATAGGTTAATACAACTAGTAAAGGAGTACTAAGGTACAAAGTCATGTACGAGGTTAAAGTGACATGTTTTGATCAATAGCAGCAGGTCTAGTAAATGTAACAACATAACAATAAAATATATACTAGATATGTATTTGATCTTTTGTTGTCTGTAATGATATAGCAACATAATATATTCTATATGATGTGGTAAGATGACAGTATAATATGTTTTCATACTATAGCATGATATAACAGTTTAGGTTTTTTTTCGTCCTTTTTTAAGACAAAAAAAACCAGAATGGTAGTAAAATGTAATTTGTTGTTATATTTACTAATCCCCTGACATTTTGTTGTCAAAGATAACAACAACAATGTAAAGACACATTTCTGGTTGAGGGTAAACACCATTTCCAGTAATTTCCTCCAATTTCCACCCTCTCATATTCATTCTTTACAATAAATATCACTTGGATCCCATGCAATAAAATAATCTGCAGCGTGGCATCTTTCTTGCTTCCACTTGAACTTACTTGTGCGGAAAAGGTCAAGAGGTCAAATATAATTAATGCTAAAGCAGTCAACTGCAGAAACACTTTTGTAAAGGCTTTGTAAATATAGCCCTCAGTGCAAGTTTTGAGAAATCCCATCAGGGGATAAAATGTTGGAGTTTAATTAGAAACGTCTAATCAGGCTTTCATGAAAAACTTAGACCATTAAAAGTGTGACTACGTCTCATTTATAATCTAACGTTTCCTGAATGCCCCATCTCTCTCCTTTGACTCATTATTTAACCTCTCTGCAGGTGGACTCTTACGGGAAATGTCTGAACAACAAACCTCTACCTGAAAATCTCGAGGACACAGCCACAGCGACCGGGGAAGAATCCAGCTTTATGAATTTTGTTGCCCGCTACAAGTTCCACCTGGCGCTGGAGAACGGCCTGTGTCCGGACTACATGACGGAGAAGCTGTGGCGGCCCCTGCACCAGGGCTGCGTGCCCGTCTACCGGGGCTCCTCCTCTGTGGCCGACTGGATGCCCAACGACCACTCTGCCATCATCATAGATCACTTCCCCTCTCCCAAAAGTCTCGCTGAGTTCCTCAAACGTCTTGATGAGAACGATGATGAATATGCAAGATATTTAGAATTCAAGAAGCCCAGCCGCATTACTAACACTCGTTTGTTAGAGGCGCTGGAGACTCGCGAGTGGGGGGTTAATGACATGAGTAAACCCAACTACCTGAATGGATTTGAATGTTACGTGTGTGACCAGGAGAATGCACGACTGGCGGCAGAACGCACATATAGGAAAGCCCCCAACAAGAACCAACCTCCAAAGCCTAAAATGGCAAACAACTCTCACATGGGGTGCCCCCTGCCCGGCCCGGGGTACGGACATGTCACAGACTTACCTGCAGATGATGGGTGAGTTAGTGTTACATTATTCTCTGTGCCAGGTGTGAAATCATTCTACCTTCTCTACTTTAATGTGTATAACAATGTCCCGAAGGTAGAGACATCAGTCCAATTTAACGGTCTAATTAAAATAACCTCTGTGATGAGCCTAATCTGCTTTTGTATCTGTCTGCAGATGGTTGCAAGTATGGCCTCAGGATTACTGGCAGAGCCTGGACCAAGCAGAGGGGCTGGAGTCTCTGATAAGACATAACGAGTCCGACCCTTCGCTGCTGTGGAAGCACATCCAAAACATGGCTGTGAGCAGAGCCAGAGGAAAACACTGACACAGGCCTTACAGAGGATGGAGCACGTCCAGAATTGCAGAGGTGTCCTATATTATGCCTCCCCTTTGTTTAAACAAGGGAATAAACCAGAAATGACTAATGTTTTTTCACCTGAGCCAAAAACACTTTATCCTTTGGTGCCACTGTAACAGATTTGGATATCGTGTTCAGCTGACATGAGTCGTTTGTCCTTTTATCCCTAGTTTAGTAATGGGAAAATAATGTTTTAGAGTTCTGTATGCCAATATTTTTAAGTTGTTTGATTGCTAGAACTGAGGTGCCATCATTGCCTGTACTCTGCCTTGCATTGTTAACATGAACTGGAGGCAGATTTTCATTGGGCTGCAGCAGAGCCAGGGGACGGTGCTCTGCTTAACTGTGTGGAGAACATTAAGGCTGGAGCCGATGAAGTGCATTAGCTTCTTTGTATTTCCTCAGCAGGTAGCTGATGGTTATGAGCTAAAGTTACATTAATGTACAAAACTATTTTAAATGACTATGCAAGTAAAATATTCACTAAGGAGTGAAGAAAGGCACATGTAAAGTAAAGGTTAACTCCCTTATGGAAAATCATCACTGGGTCAGGATCAGCTAATGCATTTCTGTGTACTCTATAATATATAGTGCCTGTTTTCTGTTACATAATGCTAAGATAATGTTTGTGTGCAATACTTTTCTAATCATGTGTTTTCTAAACATGTTACTGCTTGTGAATCCATGACAGTCCATCTGCCTGCATTCTGGCTGTGTTTGAAGTTGCATACCATTCATACCAAGTATGACGTTACGGTCAAATCGTGCTCCGATTGCATAGTATGTGCATTTTGCATGCACTAAGCACACATTATTGAGAATGTGACATGAGCTATACAAGATTTAACTGTGCTTTAAAAAGTATTGCTTTCGAAAAATGAGGAGCTTATGTTTATAATGTACTGACAAAAACAAACACTAAGATACTTACTGTTTTGTTTATTCTCCTAAAAACAATACTGGAGCAGCGAATGTGGAATTAGAATTGTGGTAAACGATTTTCATTTCATGGAAGCCTAACCTGGTAATGTGATACAAAAGGCTTCATCCTCTGTCATTGTGAACAGTCTGCTGGTAATGGCAAACGGAGTAGTTAGTAATTAGCAGGGAGTATGCAGTGCTCTGGTATGCAATTTGGAGCACAGCCGTTCTCGCAACACATACCAAGATAATACAAATCATTTTATTTTTTTAACAAAGCATCATACATGTGAATACACTATTTAGTATTAAGAAGAGCAAAAGAAGTAAACATTTTTGTAATAAAGTCATTTTATACTGTTGCAAAATAATAATATTGTTCCCCACTTGCCACTATTAGTCTGTTCACAGTTATATGGAGCACACCATGTTGTACAGACATATCCTTCATAGTTTACTGAGGCAGATACAGCTTTCACCACCAGAAAAAAAGAAAACACAAGCTTGAATTAATTTCTTTGAGAGATTTGAAATTGTACCTAGTGTAAGAAAAAACATTCAGTAGTCATAAAGTTCGCTATAACTGTCTTTTTGATCATCCTGAACCACATCCTTTCTGAGTTCAAACCGAACACAGTGAAAACTTTGTGAAAGACCAGTTCTCACTTTATATGCAAATGGACATGAAGGGAAAGGTCCAATAAGAGGCTGCTGAAGAGCTTCTATAATCAGTCCAAAGCTTTGCTGTAGCAGGTCTCGCAGTGGACTTTCCCTCCATGCAGGAACATGCTGTCGAGAAGGTCTCCCATATACTTATTGCACACACCGCACTGAAAAATAAGGAGAATGTTATAAGAAAATGCAATAACGAGAAAATACTGTGAAGAGCAATGGTGTTAACCTTGTGACCGACATGTCTCCCACATATACGAAGCTACAACTAGCAGCGGATTAGCATAGCTGAGCAAAGACTGGAGAATGGGAAATTACTGCATCAGGAAATAGTTTTGTTCAAAGTTTTAAAAACGATATCTGCCTACTAGCATCTCTAAAACACACGTTGGGTCTGATTTGTCTAATCTGTACAAAAACACAGTCTAAAAGCGACAAATTGCTGTTTTACTGGGTTTTTGTGTCAGACTAGCTGAGATTGTTTATTTTTTTAACCATTAGAGATTCCAGTATTTACGCTGAGCTAAGCTATAAATGGCATATTTACCATTTCCTACAGATAATCTTGCCATTCAACAAACACATTTAACCAAATATATTTTGAATGGGAACAAAGTCTACCTTCCTTAAAGTCCTTCCCTTCAAGGACTTTTTATTTTATTCAATAAATACTGAAAATGTGTCAGACATATGAACTACCTTGAAGCAGTGGGGGTGGCAGTTGATGTTGAGGTGATCGATGGTGATCTTGGCATCACTTCCCACCAGTTCTCCACAGAAGGTGCAGGCAGATGACAGCGAGCCACTTGGGAGACACAGCAATTAAGACTAGTTAGTTTGGCCACTGAATCAAGCAGCTGCAGCTCTGGCTGGTTAAATAACCTGTGAGGGAACTTAATAAGTGTAAATAATCCTTTGATGTCCCCGCTTAGCCTCCTAATGAGCAGGCTTGGTGGAATTTCTGCCCTACTGCTTACACATATCTAGTTTCTTCAGAACTGGAAATAACAAGGCAGAGGGAGAAGGGCTTAGGCTTATAGCTGGTTTAAAACAGGTTTATGTTAATTGTGTTTTTACCAGGGGTCAGTGGAAGGGCTTCTTTAGAGAAACTGACAGAACTTGATGTCAAACAATCTGATCTGACCAACTAAAGAAACAAGAGCAACTACAAAAAGAAAACCTCGCTGCTGAGAATTGGCAGTTTATACAGATGAAATAGCTGGAGTTAAATTCAAAGAAGAAATAACAATACAATTATTGAAAGTACCTAAAGTGGCAGTTGCAATGCAGATATGGAAAGTAGGTACATTGAAAATAGAAATGCAGTTTCAGTTGAATACAAGCACCAAATGTAATAAAGTTTGTATTATTTAAATGTTATTAGTGTTATTACCTGGAGGGGCTGCTGTAAGAGTAACTGGTGGAGCTTGATGTCAAATAATCTGACCCACTATGGAGAAAAAAAGCTATGAGTAAATCATCAAAACAGCATTACAATATAGGATGTCACATCATAAAATACAAATATCATCACAATATCATTCATTATTTAGGCTAGGATAATCGTAACATAACATCTCCATATTATCGCATGCAAAATGATGTAACAATTTGGTTGTGTAAATGAAGTATTGGTCCTACGTGTCGGTGTTGTCTCTGGCATTATGCATGGACATCTCTGTTGCGTTGACATACTCCTTCACGTACACAATGCCCCTGGGGAAGAGGCAGATAAACAACAGGGTGAGTTAATATGCATAGTTCAAATATTAGCTGTCACTTTAATTTAGATGTCTAGTTTGTAAAAAAAACACTCACTTTTTGGCCTCGGGTTCCGGTGTTTGGACGCGAGGGTCTTCTTCCATTACGGTCTTGGAATAGGTTTCATAACTGGAGACAGAGTGCAGCAGCATTAGCCTCATCTTTCACTCACTGGCAATGGCAGTGTGATGGCTCATACAGAAGGACTATACATCTGTCAAATGTAACTCAGGAGGTAATCATTTCCTGCCATCGCTTGTTAATGGCAGGCTGTTAAACGGGCTGTGATTTGACAAAAGGACATCTCTAATACACATCATTAATCTGACATCTGGAGACTGATAATTAGAGGGAGGGAAATGAGGGCAAATTGAAAGACAATGGGAGAGCAGATCTTGTCATTTAACTTCCGTAATAGTCATGAGTTTAATCAGGATTCTGTCTAACCAGCGGGAGTTGCAGGTAACTTTAGATCCGTACTGCAGTATTAAGATAGCATACAGCTGCGTTCCCACGGGGTTTGGCCTAAATCTCTCACCCTCTAACAAAGACTTCTGTTTCACAAACACAGAGAAAGAAGCCGATCTGGTATTTGAAACTAGATGATGTAACAGAAGATGATTTGATTTTAAAAACGTTTCCTTAAATGCCACACTTATTCTATAAGAATATTTCGGTGCAGTAACACACCAGTGCTTAAGCCAGAAAGCTCCAGATAAAGTAGAGTTTCTTAGCTAATGTGAGAAAACCAACAGACCAAAATAGTAGAAAATAACATTCTGTAGAAAGTACTTTTGCATTATGTTGCGTCTGACATTAAGATCATAAACTTACCGATCCATAACGGGCTGCTGTTCACTGTGTGTCTCCCTGGAAAGTAAAGAAAACTATATTAGACTTTGAGTGTAGGCTGTAGCAGTCAATACGATGGACTCAATCCAATGAAGAATTATGTTTCTTTTAAAGTGAATGAGGCTGATCTTTCTGACTCACTGCTCCAGATGGCTGTGGATTTATTGACAAGGTGTGGTTTCTTTTCTATTGTGCTGCAGCACTGCCTCATTCTGAGCCCTCCTCCCCATGCATTGTAACTGTGATCATCACCTACATTAAGCTTTTCTCCATAGTTTTTTATCATAAGAGGTAACGTTTCAAACCTGATAGTGGTGATGGTGGTTGTGACCGTCTCTGTCTGTGTATGGCTGCAAAACAAGAGGACATTTCCTGCATTATTAAAAATAGTCTGGCAGAACAGCAGAAGAAATGACGGTGATAAAGTAAAATAACAGGACGGAGTTGATTATTCTCAGACTAAGCCGCTGTGGAAGTTTCAACTTGTGTTTAGCTTGCTTTCAATTAAATGGTTGACAGGCCCTGCATTTTAAGATGCTATAATGACATCCTGCGGAAATTGTGAAAGTAAAGTGCTTTAATATGCATTTAATGAGCCCAGCCAACCACAGTATATATACCTCTCATCCTCCTCCTCCTCCTCGTCCTCCTCTTCATCATCATCCCTTTCTGTAGTGATAGTATAGACAGTGGGTGAGGTCCACCTGTCCCATGGGGAGTCATTCTCTTTGGACCTGGAGCACAAACAAAGGCATTGTAGCATGAGAGGATGACACATTCACACTCTTTATATTGTTAAAAACAACAACAACAACACAAAAGGCTAGAAGGGATCTGTTTACAGCAGTTGTGAGGCAAGATGAAACAAATATATATCTGATCTATTTTCATCAGCACCAGTGCACAATGTTTTCCAGCTCAATGCGTAGATGCTGCAAGAGCCTACTTACTTCACCGTTGTGAAAGGGAAAGAGGTTACGGGGATAAAAGGAGCAGACACAGGCTTTTAATAAAAAGGATGACTTACTTTCTCTCAAACTTGACCAGCGTCTCTTGATCTACGGTTTGACCTCCTGGCACAGCTTCTTGGCTGAGAGGGGACATACATTGAAAGGCTTTTAGCGCGTAATGGACATGGATGGGAGCATGTAGATGAATGAAACATAGTGGACCCCATTGTGTGGAAGTGTAAGCGTAAATCAAAGTGTGTCATCACCTCTCTTCCGTGTTAGCCTGCTGAGGTGTGTTGGTTTCCCACGTGCGTGCCCATGACCGATGAGAGATCAGACTGCAGAGACAGAGAATCCATGTAGACGTTTTGACAGGTGAAGCATATTATACGGTAATGTGTGCTCTTTGAGAGAATCATTTCTGCATGTCCACAGCCTTTCTTTCCCCTGAATGTCTCACTCATACATTCATAACACAATTATGCACTAAACTCTGTTTAATACCTTGTGGTGTCAGTGCTGATAGGGATGACGTTGTCTGCAAGGGATTCCAACGCATTACTGTCAAACACACGCACACACAAAAAGGGGGAGAAAACATTAAAAGAAAACATTAACATGTCATGAAGGGAGCCCAGAATTGTTTTGTGTTAATGTATATATTTTTTAAATCACACAATTATATAATACAGAGTGACACAGAAAACATTAGGATAAAAAAATAATCTGAATTTCAGAGAAATTGGGTGCCCTGGGGGATTAAAGCACTGACTATGAACCGCAATGTCCCCGGAGCCCAGCTGGGGAGCCCCCTCCCCCCATGTTGCAAAATGACAGAAGGCCAGGGGCCATAAATAAAATATATAATAATAATTCATAATGGCACTTTTATTTAAATGTGAATAAACAACCTGTATTTGTCTTTCTTATGTTTTTTTAATGCACACTGGCAACATATTTAAATTAAAGTGCAAATTAAACACAGAAATAAATTCCCACTGAAATACAGTTTTCTTTATTTGAGTATAGCTGCTATACTGTCAGCTCTCTAATGAAGGGTTACATACCAAAACATCTTTCAATAAGAAACTACAGGTGCACATGTTTGTAACAAAAATAAGTTATTT